AAACAGACAGACAGACAGACAGACAGACAGACAGACAGACAGACAGACAGACAGACAGACAGACAGACAGACAGACAGACAGAAACAACAGATGAAAAGAGCAGGAGTAGGACCTTTCAAAAGAACCCTCCAACCACCTGCTGCAACACAAACTCATAAACCAACCTCACACAACTGTTCAGTTTGCAAACTAACCTCAAAATAGCATTAGCAGCAACAGAAACGTTTTAGATAGCGCATATTATATTCGGTCAAAAATCAATAATTATACAAACACACACGTGGTATCATTGTCCACAGTAATCTGAAATTAATTAATGACAGACACGGGCGTTATGTAAAGAATATTGATTTCATAAAAGGGACAGGGATTCAACCTACACAATGATCATCAAGTAAGTATAGAGAAAAAAAATAAGAATTCAGTAAACATTGTAAAGCTGAAGTTATCTGCAAGACAGTGTTACGATTATTGTTGGGAACAGATCAATTTTGTCGTCAATTAAAGTTAAAGAAAAACACATCAACACAATATTATAATTTGGTAATTTCGTGATGGGGGAAAAGTGAAACAAAATAGACTGTGATTGCAACAAGAGAGTGGGATGATCAATTTGTTCGTTTGAGTAGAAAGAAGCACATCAACACGATAATGGCCATTTAGGGCGGGGGAAAGAAAGAGTAAGACAAGACAGAAACAACAGCGAAATGTAAGTAAGACCTACGAGTGACCAACCACCAGGGAAAGAGGAAAGGAAACGCAAGACAGATAGACGGTAACAATAGAAGGAAAGAAAAGTAAAACAGATAGAAAGTAACGACAGATGTATGAAAAAGATAGAGAGTAACAACTGAGGGAAGGAAAAGACAGACAGACAGACAGACAGTAACAACTGAGGGAAGGAAAAGACAGACAGACAGACAGACAGTGTAACAACAAAGGGAAGGAAAAGTAAGACAGACAGACAGACAGTAACAACAGAGGGAAGGAAAAGTAAGACAGACAGAGATGTAGAACTTAGAGGCGCACTCAAACCACATGTAGAGTGAGG